AACGACGATGTCTTCCTCCGTTGTTTCGGTTTCACCAGGATTGCCACCCGGTTGATCGATAACAACAGCAGGCCCGGCTGCACCAGGTACGACGATGCCATTCGGTTGTTCGCCTAGAGGAAGCACAGCGTGTTGACCATCTTCAGGAGTATCAGCTGCACCGGACTCAGGACGATCATGGATTTCATCCGAACAAAGCTCCATGAACTCCACCGGCTGCACTCGTTGTTCTGCCATACAGATAGCGACGCCTTCTTCCAGTACCATGACATCTCGGCTAACGTGGAAACGGTCATTCTCTGGATCATACACCCGGTAACCTTTCGTGTCTTCACAATAGCCGACGAAAATGCCTTTCTCAGATTTGGGATCAAACTTCTTCCTTTTCGCTTTCGGTACCAGAGTCATCACGCTCGAGCCAAAAATCTTGAGGTGCTTCAAATTCGGCTTCTTTCCGGTCCACGCCTCTTCCGGCGTTTTCTCTTCCAGGGAACGAGTAGGACATCGATTCACCACGTGCGCCGTGGCCGAAATAGCTTCTGCCCAAAACTCTTTTCCCAGCTTCGCATCGTTGAGCATGCACCGCGCCTTTTCAACCAGCGTGCGGTTCATGCGTTCTGCCGCCCCGTTCTGCTCAGGCGTATACGGGCACGTGGTTTGATGTCGAATCCCATCGGACTCCAACACCTTCCGGAAATCTGCATTCACGTAGTCCTTTCCGTTGTCTGAACGCAAGATTTTTAGCTTCTTGCCCGTCTGTCTTTCCGCTTTGGCCTTGAACGACTTGAACGCTTCGAGTGCTTGATTTTTCTGCTTCAAGAAGTAAACCACCACCCGCTTGCTTGCATCGTCCAGGAACGTCATGAAATAACGGCTTCCACCCAACGACGAAATCTCCACTGGTCCACAGAGGTCGGAGTGTACCAACTCCAACAGTTCTTCAGCTCTTGACTCGCTGCTTGGGAATGAACGCCTCGTATGCTTGCCCTCCAGACAGGCAACACATCCTTCTAACGACCCATCTTGGAAATCTATTCCGTTGGCGATTCGCTTGAGCTTGTTCAAACCACCTTCGTGAAGATGCCCCAGACGTCGATGCCAGAGCTCCATGCCGCTTGCCAAAAACGACTTCTCTGGCCAATTGACTCTGTAGAGGCCACCTTCCTCGACGCCGGTGACAACCAGATCACCGTCTTCGTCCCGAACTTCGCATCTGTCTTTGGTGAAAATAACAGTTTTGCCCTTTTTGCAGATCATAGTTACGGATAACAAGTTGGTGGCTAGGTCGGGAATCTTCAGAACACCGCTGACATCGATTCGACCATCGTTGCTGTCCAACACGACTGAACCCTTCGCTACAACCTTCATAGTGGCATTGTTCGCCGTTCCGACGTTGTGGTCCATCTTGACTTCATCGAGAAATTTCTGATCCGGCCGTGCCATGTGGCAAGTGGCACCCGAATCGAAATACCATTCACTGGTGCTGACGTCTCCCATGGCAAAAATGGAACAGAGACCCTTGTGTTTGCTCGCCTTCGCTTGCTGCTGCTTCTTCGGACACTTGGCAGCAAAATGACCCGGCTTCTTGCAGGTGTAACATAACTTTTCGCCTTTGCTACCGTCCTTGGATTCGCTTGGCTTCTTCCGGTTCGCTTTACTGTACAGGGCACCTTCCGCGCCGCTGCTGACCGGACCACGATCCAGCTTAACGTCCTGTAGAATTTTGGATTTCACTGCATCCGCTGTCAAAGCCGCTCCAGAGGCTTCGAGTCCCATTATCATGGGCTCGTACTGATCAGGAAGACCCATCAGCAACATCGCCGCGAGCCAGGAATCGTCCACCTTAAAGCCCACGGATGCAAGCTTGTGGCTTGTGCTCATTAATTCGTCCACGTACGCCTCAACGCTAGCACAGTTGATCAGCCGTACCGACGTAAATTTTCTGAGCCTGGTTAGTCCACTGTCCTGGAATGCAGATTGCAGCTTCGTCCAGGCTTCCTTTGCTGTAACCGCATCCTGCACCAGACTGTAATTGTAGCTCTCGAGGCTTAAGCAAATCGTAGCCAGAGCCTGCAACTTCAAATCCTCAGTAACACCTTCTCCGTCTCCGTCGATGGCAGACCAGCTTCCTTCACGGATTAGGATCATCCGCATCGCAAATGCCCACGTCGTGTAGTTCTCCCGGCCTCTTAGCTTGTCAATGGCTGGCAATGCCGCGGAACTTCTGGTGACTCGAACGCTTCCAGCTTCAGTCCTGCCGTTTCCGTTGGCGCCTCCATCTCCTTGACCTTGCTGTCCGGATCCTAAACTTCCGCCTGTGGACATACTTCTTCTGGTCTTGAAATTTTAGAGTCTTCCGGTTAGGTATTCTGGGCCCATAACCAATTGTAGAGAGTAATTGAAACACGTCTTTATCGGTTGACGTTGAACAGTGGAATGAAAATTTTATTCAGAAACTTAGCAACTAATAACCAGTGCATATAGCGACGCGAATTACTAGGTTGCTACGATCACAATACAAACAGACAAACCACTCGCAAGTTGTTCATCGAACAAGCATTTAACGGTCAATTTAAAAGTATCGTAGTTGGTAGTACCGTCACCTGTGGCGCGGATAGTCAATTCCCTTACGTTTGACGTATTCACACTACTGACATCTGTTCAGCGTACTACCCACCACAGTGTACTCAACAGATGGCGGTAATGATTCACATTGAGAAATATTCAATGTGTTATTTAGTTTCACTTCTTCAGACGTTTCCGAAACTACCAACCCTGTATTGGGATAACGGCACTTTTTAGCTTGCAGCACTTTGTAGTAGGACGGATACAAAGGCACATTCCGATAAATTAAGATTCAATATTAACGCAAGAGCTTCCGTCTCCGAATAGGGTACAATACCATTTATGGATAATTGTATATCCGAAACCATTTTCACGACTCTTGTCGGAGTTGTTGGCGATGCCTATTTGGCCTATTTTAGAATGAACGCTGCATCTTCTTTGCCATCCTCACGTAATTTCATTTGAGTTGCAAGTGCAAGTTCATCTGTTGGGTAGTTAGACCCAGTGGCGTCCCGTAACCTTATATTTTACTTGTGCACCAACTTTCAAAACCAGATTTAATGCCATATTCATATTGAAATCGGTTGAAAAATACACTTAATCTTCTAGTTTACTCGATATCTATCCATTGCTAGCAATACGTTGATAATTGTTTATATTTTGAGAGTTGGTGCACATAGGTGAGTTAAGGGAACGCCACTGTTTAGACCGGATTGCAGATATGCGTCTCCTAACAACCTCGCTACTTTCTTTGAACGCCAAAGATTTTCGACTGCAACTGCTTTCAAGCACATGGTCCGGTTGTGGTTTTCACAGTTTTTTTTTTATTTGCATGTCGCCTTCACAAATTTGATGACTTCAGCAGCCACTTGTGGCATTGAAACATCATCAATGCCGTAACAATCAAAAACTTCTCAGTTTAAAAAGGTTTCGCTTTTCGATTTAAACTGAAATTTTATACGGTAGCTTACAATTTAAACTATATTTGATATTTTCACTAACAAATAACTTCGGATCTGTCAAGCACTCCACCCCCTGCCATTTTAACAAGCACTTGACATGCTTTTCTAAACAAATTCCGCATGCACGGTCAATGAGAAGATCATGTTGATAGATGGAGATGCTTAACATGAAATATCAGACTTAAAGTGATCATTGTATACGATAGATGAGCAGATGAAAGTATAGAGTAAAATTATATATAGAGAATAGAAAGCGAGCAAAGGACAATGTTGAGGAAGGCACGATTCGGGTTGATCATCTCCTTTAACAAACTCACCTGTCACACGACGATTTGAGTATGAAATAATCGATAGAACTGTTCGAATGTACGTAAGCAAATCGGCGGTCATCTCTTTTGCCAGTGGTGGCGGGGGGAGATAGGAGTAACTGGACAAGAGGCTAAGTGAACACGCCCACAGAGGTGTTGGGGTCTATTTTATACCTGCAGTATCAATGGTACGCATTGTCCAACAGTTTTTTTTTTTTTTTAATTGTGTTTTAGATATTTTTGGCCATGGTATTTTAATCATGATCTGTTCTAACCAGGCATGGAAAATCATTTGCATTCATTTCGTGCATTCATTTACATTCATTTGCCTATAACTTTTTTTTTCAACAACATTCCGCAAAATGATGTATAGAGCTTTTGTAGGTTTTGTTATCAAATTTTGTTAACAAATCAAATCCATATCTCTTATGCATGACGAACCAGAGCAAACAAAAGCCACTACTGTTTTTAAGTGAATGTATTTTACATTCACTGAAAAACAGTAACAAGTTCTGCCCGCTCTAGTTCGTGATGCATAAGAGATACAGATTTGAGTTATGAGCAGTTGTAGCTAATAATAAAACCTACAAAAGCTCTATACATCAATTTGCGGAATGGTGTTTAAGAAAAAAGTTAGAGGCAAATTAATGTAAATGAATGCACGAAATGAATGCAAATGATTTTCCATGCCTGGTTCTAATATCAATAGTTGCGGTACGTTAGAAGCGTTAGGTTTCTATAGTTGTGCATGGAGACTCAATACACAACTATAGGAACCTAACGTACCGCAACTATAGGAGCGTTTCCTTTTTTTGTATTACTTCTGCGTGAAATCTACGATTTACATAGTTGTAGAATGCAAAACCTTCATAAAAGTTGTCCTTGCTCGTTTTCTACTCTCTATACATACAATTTCACACTACCGTACTCTAACAGAACTATCAACTCTATACTTTCATCTCCTCATCTATCGTATAAAAATTACCACTCTAGTCTGTTATTTGAAATTAGCATCTTCAACTAAGTGAATCGTTGACGTCACGCAGAAGTAATATAAAAAAAACATTTATTATAGTTAAAAAACAATAAGTTAGTTTTCAATAAACGCCACACCAAACTTGTTTCTTTTCCGGCTTGAGGATTGCAATCAAAATAGCCACTAAGGTCTAAGGTTACACAATTTATTTCAATGTCCAATATCTTTCTTAATGTAAACATTTTCAGTTTTACTACTTCACTAAATTAGGGAATATTATACTATGTACATATAAAAAATGTTCTCATAATCGTTCTTTGTTGTTTTACTGCTAAAATCTGACTTTTCACAAGCTTAAATATAACCAAAAAAATAATAAACATTTATAAACTCAATTTCGTGCTTCTAGAGAACACAAACAGGACAAATTGAAACATTTGAACAGAGGAAAAAAATAAGACATAAACATGATACAATTTCACATTGATTCAAAAGCACCAATGGGAAAATCGCTTCTCGGCGTTTCGCGTGTGAGTTAACATAAAAAAATGTATGTGTACATAATGTGCATAAACTGAAAGTTTACCTTTGGAAAACATGCCACCGTTTTTTGATACCAACTAGAACAAATTTTGTAATTGTAATTTCGAATTTCACTTCTCTTAGCTCGCCACTCCTCTACCGGGTCCAGATCAGTTCGCGAATTGTTTTATCACATCGTTGTTGAATTCACCAGATTTTGTAATTTTCACACTTCGTTTGTCCTACTTTAAATCGATAGTTGAGTCTTTCTCCTTTCCGCAAAAATTGATCGTTAATCTACTAGTCGTCTTCGTCGTCGGGCAGCTAACAGTGCTGTATGTCGTTAAAAAAGAGAAAACAATTCCGGACAATCTAGCAACTACAGTTAGTTGGAGGAATTTCTTAGCAGCACGAACTTCGTGCCGATTCCGCTACCACTAGGTTAAAGTCTAGATTGCTGGGCCTCGGGAAACCCTTCTTGATGCCATCCCATCCGTCCTCGACCTTGTACTCGCCGGACTGGATCCGGTTGTAGACCTCCTGGGTGACCAGACTGAACGCTTCCCTCACGTTGACCCCGGTCCGTGCCGAGGTCTCCACGAAGATGAGCCCATTCTGTTCGGCAAAGGAGCGTGCCTCTTCGACGCTAACCTCACGCCTCTGCACCCCACTGTTAACTAGATCCAGCTTGCACCCGACCAGGGCAAACACCGGCCGGTGCGGCTCGATGTGCCGCTTCGCTTCCATCATCCACAGGGGAATGTGCTCGAAGCTGGCGTGGTTGGTGATGTCGTACACCAGCAGGACCCCGACCGAGTTGCGATAGTAGGACTTGGTGATCGAACGGAACCGCTCCTGGCCGGCCGTGTCCCAGAGCTGCAGCTTGATCCGGGTGCCGTCCTTCACCTCGATCAGGTGCGCGAAAAAGTCAACGCCCACGGTCGGATCCGATAGCTGGAAAGAAAACAAGATAATGGCGCGAGATTAGGAGGAGGTTGGTTGGAGAAATGCAAAACAGGTTTACTTTTATGCATAGTAGATGAGCAAATGAGATTGTGCGGCATCACGCAACGGTTCCAAACGGTAGGCTGTTGATTTTTTTTTTGTATTTGTTATGGGCCAAAAAAAAAGCACATATTTGACGATACGCTGCTCATTCTAGCGGAACGAGACACGCTTCCCCACCGTGTACGTAGTAAGTAGCGGAACGTATTTATAGGCTTTGAACGGTGAAGCCTTTCAAAACTAACTCGCGAAGCAGGCATGGAGTGATCAGCAATATTGTATTTGTTGAAAACGAAAGTAATTTAGTTTCCTCTTTTCAGTCGAAAAGGTGCAAGGCCGTTTAACTGTTGATTGACAAAATTGGACGTGTTTGTCCACAATAGAGACATGAGAGAGGGGCCTTATCGTTGTGGAAGGAAAATCAGTTGGTCACCCATTCGGTTGTCGCTTATTGTTTTTCACTCGATACTCCAGTTTCAAGCCTTCAGCATATGCAATAAGCCAGTGGTCTAATGAACCATGAAATGTATGTAGACGTTCCAACTAAGGGTTTAGAGTTGCATTTAATGCGGACATATCATACACAAGGGGAAGCAGCAAAGGAAGCAAAGTAAAACTTTTCTTTAAATGTCGAGTCATCTGATTTAATACATTCGAAAGCATTTGAATATAGGGTTACGGTATGTAATGTGGGTCTAGTCCTTTCATTCGGCCTATCACGCAAATAAATAATTAATTAAGGAATATTACACAAAAAATAAGGAAAATATTGATCACTGATGATTGATAAATGTGTACCACACACAAATCAATTTATATCACAACATTTCAATACATTTTCAGCTCTCGTAAGTAATAAAACTGGTTGAGAATATCACTCTGTTCGGAGTTTTTAGCCGCCATGACTTCTAAGGTTAAGATGGGAAGGTTGCACTGACGATCATCAAATGGCCTGATTATGGCATTTATTGAATGGAATTACCTGATAATACACACTAGACGTAAAACTCACAGTTACTGTTTGAATATTTTATGTTTATTTTAATTGTTTAACAACGTTTTCACAAGTAAATCATGGACCCAACTTTAGGGACACATTTCTTTTCTATGTTCCTAACTTTGGCCCATGAAATTCATTTGACAGCATATAGCAATAAGAGTAACGTCAACAATGTGGTTTGCATTTGGATGATAAGGAACGAACAGGAAGGGAGATTTTTTCTGCCAAATCTGTATAATGAACATCACAATGTTTTGATTTAGATATTCTGCGGTCGAAAGACGATAAGCGAAATTTTTAATTTTTAATTTTTAACTTGAGTGATTTAATGTAGTTTTCGTAAAATTTTCTCTAAGAAATGTTTTGAGGAATGAAGAGTATTAAGTTAACAGTGATAGTGATAAAAAAAAATACATAAGAAAACGTTACCAAGAGCGTTTTTTTTGAGAATCAAACAGGATAGGACGAAGTTGCATCCATAAATAGACCCAATTTGGGGACAATAGACCGATATTACATACATTTCCCTGGTGAGTTTTTGTCTTAAAAAAAGTAAGTTTTTCAACTTTTTGCGGTTCCTGATAGCAAACGACATGATAAGCATATCTAAGCATACCATTTAGCAGTAGAATATCGTTTGCAGGTAAATTAATTGATGAGTTATGATTAAAAACGTAATCTATGGCTGCATATTAGACCGAGGTTAGGGACGTATACCCTATGAATAGCCAATACTCGTACTCGGTGAAAAAGCAAGAGCTCACAAAAAGAGCCCTTGCCTAACAACGGGTACTAGCTGCACTTTGGTACTCACTTCTCTGACTCAACCCTGCGGCGAGCGCGCACAATAGTAGTGACTTTAGTAACTAAAATAACGAAAATAGTGACCACAAAATAATGACTTTAAAACAATAAAAGCAAAATGACCAATAGTAACATTTATTGATCGGACCACTTTGAGAAGTAGTATAACCTCACAAACTAACATGAGGTAGGTAGATCTACAACCGTTTTTCGTTTCAATTTTAACTGGGCATAGTAGTTAGAAGCAAAACTGACTTTTTTGAGTTCACTGGCAGCGTTGCTTCAAATGATTCAGTAAGGGTGTGAACTCTAATTAACCCTCATTTAAATTCAGAAAAATGTGGTAAGATTTGAACACTGCTTACCCCAAGGGGTGAACTCTGCACATCCCAATGTGTGCCGAGTACTTTATCTGTGCTGAAAGCTAGGTCAAGCATTGTGCCGAACGTGCCAAACTTTGGCAATCAAGGTATCAGTCTCAGTAAGCCATGAGTTTGGCAACCCTGCACTTATGACTTTTGAGATGGTGTGTTTACATTTTCAAGTCAAGGACGGAAAAAGTTGTGAAACTTATAGCGAATTTGTTTATTATCGGGGTTGGAACCAGTTCCAACCCAGTGTGAAACCGAACTTTTTGTCAGTGCGAACCTGAACCTGAGGTAGGTTTTAAAAACAAACGATCAAGCTGACGTTTGTCGGAAAATAAGCAGAGCCGATCTTGATACCCAATCCAGGTTGGAACTGAATAATAAACAAATTCGCTATTAATTCCAATATGATATTCAACGAGCTAGTTGCCGGTCATCCGCTTCAAGGAAGTGGCACTCGAAGTGACTGATGGCAGAAGCTATCCATGCAGGAGAAGACAGTTCTCTACCGTCCGTCATTCTGGCACACGTTTGCCGAAACCAAGTACCCAACCGGCAAGTGGAAGATTAATCTTGTCTGCAATAACATCATGCCACTTGGGCAATGCTACAGCTTGAGCTTGAGCTTGATTGACCGCCCACGGTTGCTACTCTGTTACTGCCAGATCAGCTGTAATTACACAGAGAACCAATAGACGATGCTTGGGACTAGCAATCATCCTCAATGTGTAAAAACTGGTGATCTTAAATTAGGCAATACCAGCGCCGGCCGCGCCCGAACACAGGTCAAGAAAGGAATGGGAAGGATTGTGTTGACATGACACTCGCTTTGATGGAACACGAGAACACCTCTGCACTTCCACGAGGAATCACTGGGATGTTGGATAAGAGGGTTGGGTTTGCAGCAGGGTTCGTTTTGGTAAACGATAAGCTGAATTGATGTTCTAACGATCATATAACGCGAAGGAGCTTGGGACTAAACCCACGGTCTTCTGCTCAGTAAGCAAAAACGTTTGCCACTAGGCAGACGAGCACCTTTTCAATCACCGAGTTGCTGTTATTACCATGTAGTCATATTAACAAATAAAACGATTGACGAATCTTGAATGTGGATGGGCCTGAGATTAGACTCATGGTGTTCTGCTCAGTAAGCAAAAACGGTTGCTCTAAGGCCACCGAGCCCCTCATATCACATAATACCGTTGCTCAAATTTGTGTATCCATTCAAACCCGGAACCAACGACAACAACGAGTTTCGCAAAATACACGATACACAAGCGATTTTACCATAAATCTCTTTGATATGTAAGGACCTGGGAACGCGTTTTCTGCTCAGTAAGCAGGCCACTGTAACCGACGATCTTTCAAATCCGAAAACTAAAAACTACGAAAAAGTACTTAGGCCTTCATTAAGTTCCACTTTCACGCGACGTTCAATGACAGGGTCCTATCCAGGATTACATCTGAAAAATCCAAATCTGGCCAACGCCCACCCTAAACCTAAACCTGTTCTAATCCACCTGAAATGACTAACGAATGGAAGGCTTTGACTACCCAGCCATGCAATAGTCTCATTCCGTGCCTTATGGCAACTTGATGATTCTATTGCGCTCATCTTCTGGCACCACCCAGGGGAGACTTGGTCCTGTACCCAATGCTTAACTTATCTCCATTCCACTCAGCTACTCGCAATTTCTTGTGATATAGTGGGCGGAATATTATTATATGAGACAATTCAATGCAGACGTCTTTCCAAATTTGGCAGATCGACAGGTAATCGGTGAGTTACCACGATAGTTGCTTATCAACAACTCGACAACGTCCCATAGTCAACGCCTGCTATGAGAATTTCCCATTGCAGACGCCAACGAAATGACGTCATCGAGCTATCGATCAACTACCCTGGTTATCGCCTGGTACCTTATAGCACGATGCTAGGAGGCGAACCGGAAGAATCGATGAGCTACCTCTCCCCCCATGCCACTTGGGCAATGCTACAACCTGAAAAATAGGAAGGACTCGACCTAAAATGCCCACCGGCGGTAGTAATAGCAGCAATAGACATGCAGTAGCTTCCCAGTGTCAGCAGTCGTGGACAGGTACTAGATTCGTCTTACTGCCCTCCCCCCTTTTTATCGGGTGTGGGTCCCTACTTTGTCCACGGTTTGTCCAAATGTCGGTCCAGAATCTCGATACTGGTTGCAGTCGTTTGGTGACTACCTCCTCCTTGTATCTGCTTGTTGTTCCTTCATGCCGGAATCACATATTAATCTCCCTGAAACTGCTGCCGGTTCCGATTGCGTTCATTAAGACCGCGATTCAGATAGGGTCTGTTACCTCCGGTGTGGTTACCTTCACAATTCTGTTAGCAGCATCTTTCTTAATGTTGCTGTTGCCGTCGGTGATACGAACAGTTGCGGAATAGGGTAGAGAGACCTCCACAGTAAATCCGAATCCAAGTTCAGTCCATAGAATGAGCTGTACGACTAAATGATTGGTGAACCATCAATCGTACCGATTGCAAATACATCTGCAAAATGGTAGGATCGTTCGGCACCGGGCTGTTGTTGACACCGTTCATTATCGCTGCAATGCTCCTTACCCATACAATGGACTCTCGGTCCGGATCCTATGGCCATCGAGTTAAAGCTTAATTCTAGTTAATTCTGGCCTATTTTGCGAGGCGTGGTAACTCTGTCTAGTTCGTTTGGACTTCCCTGAAACTATTGACATCTCTTAAAAGCCTTGTGGACTTTCTGTAGAGGTTCATCCTCCAG